TACCCGCTCTCAAACGAATATGCACCGCTACACAATGCACCAATTCCTCTAATGTACTTCTTAGGCTCTCCTAGGATTCCCACCTCACCATGCCATCAACTACTGAAGAACCCCTACTAATATCAACTAACTGCTTCATGAATACGATTGCATGCAACAAAACTTAAATAATCTTTCGGATAAAAGACCCAACCCTACAACGGTTAGACTCAAATGAAAGTTGCGCAATAGGGCCAAATCAATCATTCTAGAATCATTTAACCTTTGCAGCATGTAAATTAACATATTCATTTAATAGTTAGCTCACATCAATATGGGTCCCACAAAGCACAAAGCAAGCAACATTAAGGAAGTAACACTCTATAGGCCACAAAACACAAAAGGCATCCTCTAACTAGCCTGCTTTCTCAATGCAAGGACGTTCTACCAACACTGTTGGTTTCCTTATGCATGCAAATTATACACAAAATGGGATCACATAGACTATCAAATGAATGATTCTAACCTGAGCCCAAAACCATACAAGGAACAGGAAATAAGGTCAAATCAATCCTTCTAGGGCTATATGATTGATGTGTGTAAAACTAACTAGTTTTATCCTACTTTTTAAATATGAATTTGACACACAAAAGGCAGTGGACCTGTCAATTGGTGGTATAAATTAGCAAGTAGGGTATCGAACTCAAGGAACGGAAATTCATAAGTTTAAACATGATTTAATCAAAGGTTGAGTAAGAATACACTTGAATTGCCTTTAATCTTCCCAAGATCGAATGCATAGACTTGATCTTCGAGTTTCTGGGGTTCCAGCAGTGCCTTAATCGCAGCCTAGCCTTCAAGGGTTTTTCCAGAGCTCATCAATTCGGGATTGTGACTCCTATTTATAATTTTTGGAAAAGAGAGTCTACTCGTCGAGTAGACAACCGACTCGCTGAGTCCCTTCATAGAATCCGTATGCGGCAAGGACTTTGTGTATTGCTTCACGAACCTTCGTGGGTACTCGTCGAGTAGACGTCCCTACTCGCCGAGTAGCTTCAAAATTTGACTCTTTTCTTCTTTCTTCAGTTCCCGAGCTTCCGATCGCATCTCCTGCTTCCTTTTGCTTCCGAGCATATCTTTTGGACTGAAAATACAATTTAAACACTATTAAGTACCTTTTGTCCATAATTTGCAAATAATTAGCTAATAAATACTAAAAATCTATACTAAATATATAGCTAAATATGCACATATCAATGATCCTAATCGTATACAATTTTTAAAGCATACACTTAGCAATCAATTCCACCAACATAGATTCCAAATCCGACATAGTATCTAATTCCTCCTATGATACAAGACATCACAAATCAGGCCATTCTATCCAACATCGGAAATCCATACTAGCATGTAGTTCCAAAAGCTCAATCAACAGGTATATACAGACATCTCTCCTAGCATTTTATCATGCAATCCTGAGCATATCCTTATCTCTAATGTAGCATGCAATTCCCATATACTCATACCAAAACAATAAGCATAACACATGTATGAGTATTTTGGGAAATACTTACTTAAGCTCGACTGATTGCATGCATCACACCCCTTTTTCTTAAAAAACATTTTAGAAACTCATTTTCTTATAAAAGATTTTAGAAATCCTCAGTTTGAGTCCAGACACACCCGAGAGTGTGCCTGAATCCTTCAAACCAAGGCTCTAATACCAACTTGTAACATCCCAAAAATACTGAGTCAAAATTTTGTTTTTGGTAAGTCAAAAACCATTCATTCATTAACCCAAATGATAATCTAAGTATAACTATCCTCAAAACATCAGAATAAAATCATAAACAACCAATACATAATGAATCTCTAGGGCATGCAATTCGAATCAAGTCGGGCCCTTCCTTTTGAAACCGGAAGTACCTGAATACAATTAAACATAAATCGTAAGCACAAAGCTTAGTGAGTTCCCCAAAATACCACATGTCATACTAATTAGTGGGCCCAACACTGAGGGTATATTCCAACCCAACATACACGCATGGGCCTACACCTGGGGTTTACTCCAACCCAACATATAATCATGGGCCCATCCCTGGGTTATATTCCAACCCAACATACAATCATGGGCCCAACCCTGAGGTTTATTCCAACCCAAACATATAATAATAGGCCCAGACTGGGGGCCCAACCATGGGGTGTATTTAAACCCAATCATACATGCAAGAGTCACAAAGACAACTAGATTTCTACATAACACAATCCAGTGGGCCGACATTGGTGCCTTCGAACCACAAGTATAGTGAGAAGACTCACCTGAATTACTCAACAGAAGCTCAACAACTACCTCAACAACAAAACAACCATCCCAAGCTTCCTAAAGCCAAACCAAGACTAATCCTTAGTCAAATGCTCAATTCTACCCAGGTATAACCAAAAGTCAAATTGGTCAAAAAGTCAATGGTTAAAGTCCACAAGGTCAACGGTCAACTTAGGCACGGACAATCCGCTCAGCACAAGTTACGACGTGAGCTATTATTGGTCACATCGTGAGAATATAGAAAACCTCAAAAGCAGGTTCCTTTCTTAGTTATGTCGTGACACCTCCAGTGTCACATCGTGACTTCAGTCTGAATCATATCCTTAGTGATTTTAGTCCTTAAACCATTCAGTATCCAAACCAAACTTTTCCAGAAGCTTAATAGGACTCCAAAGGTCCATAAAAATGTTTACTTTATGGACATGCATGCTTCATGCATGTCCTCAATCCATTCTAGGTCAAAATGGGTAAGAAATGGGTCAAAATCCCATGCATGACAACAAAACTACTAGTGAGTCCATATCTGAAACATACAATGCTCTTGGGACGTTGGAGAGTAATAAAGTTGCAAACTTTATTCCAAACTCTCACTCAAATCTCATTAAAATGGACCAAAACACCAAATACACTTAGATCCAAAGATGAAATGCAATAAAGCTTAAAACTTTATAACTTACAAAAGGTCTAGAAGATAGATAAAAGTTGAGATCTTTAATTGCCAGGCTTCAAGGATCAATCTTTCTCGAAAACATTCCTCCAAAACCATCAAAAACTCCAAAAATGGATGAGAGCGGAGAAGGGAGGCTCAAATCTTGAAAATGGAGGGTAGGGTTTCTCCAAGGGGTTCTAAATATGATGGAGGCAAAGAAAATACCCTAAAACATGAATCCTTACCTTTAAATACCTTTCAAACCCTAAAAAAATGTGGGCTTGGGCTGCATAGTTCTCACCTCTTGGTAACCTGTTTGTCACCTCGTGAGGGCTCTCATGTCGTGACACATTCCTGTCACCTCGTGAGAATGATTTTTCACCCAACCTCACTCAAAATTCAAACATTCATAACTTGTTCATTTCAACTCCGTTTTCGGCGATCTTTATATGCACGGAAAGGTATTGACAATCCCCACAACCCTATCTAATTACTTTTGACTTAAAACATACCGAACGAAAATCATTAATTCACGCAAGAAGTCTGAAGCATCACTTTTCCCATTTTACCCTTGGCTCCAAAACACGAATCAAGGGCTTAGATCACTTAACACACATTATCAACATCTGGTAGGGCCTAAACTTTGTTTGCTTGAAGCCCAGGGCCTTCACATGATCGAATTATCGTCCAAAATCCCGAAATTGGATACTTCCCAAATAGGATGTTACATCAGTTGCCTTATCAAGTTAATTCTAACTTTCCTGGTTATCATTTTCCCCTTCTTCGTCTGTTTCTTTTTCCTCTTCTTCTTGATTTTTATTTGCAATGACACTTCCAATCATCATGGTTTTATTAGATGGAATTATTTCGACTCCGAAATTATTCGATTCTATGAAGGAAAAGTACAAATTTCCATTAGAAGTCGGGGTCGTCATCTAGCTTGAGGGTGCACTGTTCTCGGAGCATCCATCAGGTAAATTAGGCGTATATGTGAAAACTTTCGATGCTGGTTACCGCCTTCCCACAACCGACTTCATGGCTGAACTTCTTCAGAAAAATGGAGTTAACATTTATAAGTTGACCCCAAATGTTGTTATGAAGGTTATGGCTTTTGAGATGCATTGTCGTTCTCAAGGATTGGAGGCAGATTTCTAGGTTTTGAAAAATTACTTTCGCTTCTCCAGTACTAACGACAAGTATACTTTCTATGCTCGCAAGAATAGTCATGTTCTTGTTCTGGAAGGGAGGGATAACCCTCAGAACTGGCAGAGCCACTGGTTCTAGGTTAGGGGATCTCGTGTCGATGGTCCGTATTTCGTACAAAATCTACTTCAGATGGTGGTCCTCGATTGTCTGCCCGCAATCAAGAAGTGGTTCTTTTGCTCAACAGTTTTCAAGTTATCCCTGAGGATTTCCCTAAAGTTGTCTTGGTCGGAGCAGGGATGAGCGCTGAGTGGCATCGTCGCAGGAAGATACCCGAGTTCTACGTCATCAAGAATGGTTAGTTTTCTCCTCTTTTCCTCTTCTCCCTCTTTTATATATATATATATATATATATATATATATATATATATATATATATATATATATATATATATATATATATCGTTTTGTATACGAATCATCCGCTGGATTTGAGGACCCCTATTGCTTGTTGTGGCATTTACATGGGTTGAACACATTTTGGTTTCATAGAGGTTTTCGAAAAACTTTTGAAGGAGATATTCAGCTTAGGGAAATCGATTTGGTTGAATATATCCCTCCGCCGAGCCAGCGGCTACCTAGGGCTATTTCTACTTCCGGGTCGTTAGGCCATATTATGAATCCTTTCAATAATCCCACCAGTGTTCATGTTAATGCTCCCATGAATGGCTTGTCTAAGTATGACAAGTTAAACGATTCTGAGTCCATGGAGGATAGAAAAGAAGGGATTTTTCTCTAGGGTTGGAGATTGTTTGGTCAGGAGGAAAGCTTTTTTGGATTTTTCTAGTCTTGCTGGAGGTGGGGCTGGCTTCCCCATCGTTAGCCATGTGAAGAGACGGAAAGTTTATGCAAACCTCCTTTCCAATCTTGGTGTTTCCGGGGGTGATTTATGTTCCCGATGATGACATTCAACAGTTTGAGGGGGGAAATCGAGGTAAAAAATCGTCCTGTTACTGGCAGCATTTCTCAGCCTGTTCGTGCTCTTGAGGCACCTGAGCCTAACCATGTAAGAGTTACACTTAGGCCTACATCTGCATAATTCCTAGATGGTGCTCACATTCTCTGTAAGGGTAGTGTATGTCCTGATCTCTTTACCCTGAGATGGAAGCTTGTTGGCAATTCCCGCCTTTCTGTGAGGGAAAATTCATTGGAATTTGCTCGTCATGAATTTCCTGACATAACTGTTACTGAGATGAAGTCCTTTATATATGATTGAATGGTAGGATATCTGGAATATACATATGCCCAGGCTGCCTATTTCTTCTCTACACGTGCCCGACGGGTCCGTCGTTTGAAGAATATTAATGTTGGTTTGGGTGAACGAGAGAAAATTTTGCTTGGTAAATTGGCTTCTGTTGAGAAAACCGAAACTGCTCTTGACCAATTATTGGGATTGCTAGCTTCTAAAAAGGTGGTGGTAGAGGAACATGTAATAGACTTAGAGAAGAAGGTTGATGAACTTTCCCAAAATAACGAAGCTTTGAATATCCGTATCGAAAGTCTGAAAAGGGAGTTGGTTGATAAGGAAAAGCAGATTATTGGGTTGAAGGAAGCCAATGTCCGGTTGGAAGAGGATCTCAGATGCCTGTTGAAAGAAGGTGTGGTTGGAGTGGTGGATAAGGTAATCGAGCTCCATGAGTTTTTGCATGGTATAGGGCGGATCAAGAACAATTGTTGGTGTGCAGGTGAGGAGTCAGGTCCCGATGGTGTGAGGAAGGAGATTGTCGTTGGAACTTTTGATGCAGGACCTGCTAGATCTTCCTCTAGCCATAATGGAGGCATGGCAGAAGATATTGATGCTTTCCTATCTTGTGACTATGCAACTTTGTTGAAGTTAGGTGAATTAGACTTGGAGGGCTTGAAGAGATTGTGTGCTTGTGAGGCTGGTGGGGAACCAGGTACCGGTGGCACAACTAAGATTGTTGGTCTGGATGATGATGGAGACAAGGGTAAGAATGCCATTTAGTGGTTTCATTTGTGCTGCCACTCTAGGGTGTGAGTTTATTATGTTCTTTTGACGTTTTTCTTTTGTTTCCTTTATTTTGTTATGCCCTACGTGGCATTATTGACTTTGGTTTGCGAATAATTTATATGGTCTTTATGTGTTTGTGGTTGTTTCTCTACCTTTAATATTATTTTTGTATGGCTATTCAATTTGGGATGCGCTTTTGCGTTTAGTAACTTTTGTTATCGTTTGTGGTTGATGGTCTTGTCGTGGTGGTATGGCTGAAGATCCTGTCGCAGCATAAATACGTTGGGCTGAGGAGCCTTGTGAGTTGGTAAAGGTTGCAATCCTTTTAACCATCGGAACAATTATGTAGAGGAAAACTATTCATTCATAATTTATTTAGAAAACAAGATGCCAATTGGGTGATCAAACCAATCAGTCAACCATATTTTACAAAAGTAAATGTAACAATGCTGTGAAAGATACAAAAATGTGGCACTGCCCACTTCTTTTAATGTTTCTTCGGTAATTGCGTCTTTATCCTCTAATCTCAGAAGTGATACCTCCTAAGATGTTGTATGTACTAAGTACGTGGGATCTTCCTTCTATCAAGTGTCTTTAGTTCGTAGCTTCTGTTTTAGTGTGCTTCGATTACTTTATATGGTCTGTCCCATGTAGGTCTCATTTTCCCTCGTGCTTCAGCGTGTCTGACTTCTTTAGCGCGTAGCACTAGATCGCCTACTTTCATCGCCCTTCCCTTGACATGCTTATGCTTTGTATACCGCCCTACAGATATTTTCTGCTTCTTACTTTTCTTCTATAATGTCAAGATTGTGGCGCAAATCTTTGTCCGTTTTGGCTAGATTAAAGTTCGTGACTCTCAGGGATCCCACTAGCATATCGGGAGGAAGTACTGCTTCTGTTCCATATATTAAGTTGGACGGTGTCTCCTTGGTGCTGCTCTAAGGGGTTGTTCACTGGTCAATTCGTCTACCCGATTTCCTTTTGCTTTTCCTAGCCGTTTATTGATGCCATTCACCAATGTTCTGTTGGACAGCTCCTTTTGGCCATTGGCTTGCGGGTGTGATACGGAAGTAAATCGTTGTTGAGTGTGTTTGTCTTGACACCAGTCCTTAAAGGGATACTCTGCAAACTGTAGCCTATTGTCACTGATTAGTACTATTGGTGTCCCGAAGCGTGTGATTATGTTATTCCACATGAATTTGATCATGTCTCGCCCTGTGATTGTTGTGACGGGTTCCGCTTCTATCCATTCGGTGAAGTAGTCAACTACAACAACCAAAAATTTTACTCGTCCAGGGGCCTCTGGGAATGGACCCACAATGTCAATCCCCCATTAGTGAAAGGGCCATGGGTTGGTGTTGTTAGTTTGCGCTGTAGATGGGACCCTTTGTATTGGCGAGAAGCTTTGGCATTCCACACATTTCATGGTCATTTCCTCTGCTCTAGCATACATTCTTGGCCAATAGAGTCCCATCCGCAGGACTCTCCCGGTCAGGGCTCTTATTCCTACGTGTGCTCCTGCCTCGCCATCGTGTGTTTGCTTGAGTACTTATTCCCTTTCATAATTTATGATGCATTTAGGCCATGGAGTTAGGTATCCTTTCTTATACAAGCTACCGTCATTGATCATGAAGTGTGGGGATTTTATCTTTATATTCCTTGCTTCTGCAACGTCGTCAGGGCTCTTATTCCCTCGTGTGCTCCTGCCTCGCCATCGTGTGTTTGCTTGAGTACTTATTCCCTTTCATAATTTCTGATGCATTTAGGCCATGGAGTTAGGTATCCTTTCTTATACAAGCTACCGTCATTGATCTTGAAGTGTGGGGATTTTATCTTTATCTTCCTTTGCTTCTGCAACGTCGTTAGGTAGAGTTCCTAGTGTTAAATAATCATGTAGCGGAGTCATCCAAGTAGTTTCCTTTGATGCTATTAAGTCAACCGGTTTTCTCGTCTATGTTGATGTTGTATAATACTTCTATTAACATGTTTTTCGACAAATGATTCAATGTTTTTGCCTCCAGCTTTCCCAATGCGTTAGCTCTTTTGTTTTCACTTCGTTTTATATGCTCCACAATGAATGTCTCAAAAGATGTCGCTGCCTTGCCTATTGCGTTTACATATTTTTCCATCCGAGCATATTTCGCCTCAGTTTTTTGGCACCCATCTTGATCGCCAACTGGAGTCCAGCTAGTAGAGCCTCATATTACGCTTCATTGTTAGACGTCTCAAAATCGAAGCGTAATGTCTAGGTTATTTTGTATCCCTTGGGATTAGTGAGGGTGAGCCCATCTACTTGTTGGATTAGGTGTCTAAGCCCATAACTATAATTGGTATGTACTTGACCCGATAGTAGCATGGTCCTTTTGGGTTGCCTTCACCATAACAATTTGATAGGATGAGTTTTGGAGAAAGAGGTTAATTAATGATTTATTAATATATTATACAAATAATATATTAATTGAGAAATCATATTATTTAATTAGATTGATCAGAAATTAATTTGGAATTAATTTAGTGATCAAAAGAGATTGATTAAAAGAACGGGGACTGATTATGTCAATCAGTAATAGTTGAAGTTTGGGCTAATGGATCCTCATGATATCGGGTGGACGAAAATCTATGGGAAGCCCATAGAGTTTTCGTCCAAGGCCTATCATGTGGGTATGTGGATTGCTTAGGGCCTAAGCAAGGGAATTTAAAATCCTAGTAGTAGCTCAACTATAAAATTTGATCTAGAAGTTTTGAAAAGTTTCAAAATTTGCCCTCAAGTTTTGGAATTTAAAATTTGATTAAAAGTTTTAATTTTGAAATATTAAATTCTAAAACCCTAAGAGTTTTAAAAGTTTAAAATACAACCCTTATACTGTTATAATATTAAAAGATTAGTATGTATATATATATATATATATGTATAAGATGAGTCAGTCTTACCGTTAGTAGACCTCATTCACGAAGCCGATCTATAAAGGGGGTATAAGGAAACTGCCTATAAAATGGCGGTTGAATGGGTGTCCACTATCACCCACCGCTTCCTTGATTGGTGGAGGGTCGTTAGCCGAACGGGTAGGATAGGACATTAATTCCTCATTAATAAGTACAATGAATATTATAAAGTAACTAAATGTTTTTATAAATTCCCAATCTTAGTTACTTTAGGAAAATGTGAAAATGATGCTAGTCCATGAAATTGCACTTTGCACCTTGTCAAGTCGTTAGTGGAGCGTGTGTGGTTAACTGGCACACTAACTTAGACTAACAAGGGTGGCAAAGGGTAGCTTGAGAATTACCATAGATCAAAGGAGTGTGTGTGGTTAACCGGCACATTGATTAGGTGGTAAATGACATCGAGAGTGCCAAGCTAATTTGCATGGTTATTCACACCTTGTTTGTGATCCTCGGTATCCCAGTCACAAACTTGAAGGGCATAATCGAGATTAAACATGCCATTGAAAAGTTCATTGAATCTCAAAAAAATCTAGGAATTTCATTTCATTTAAAACCTAATTCTTCATTTCGTTTTTCGTGGTGGAATTGGTAAATCGTCATTTACGTACCTTCAAATAATTTGCAATTGGATTACGACATCCCTCTTCCAAATGGTGAACTATTGTGTTGGGTCCTGGCCTTAATATTTTTCATTTGGGTGTTATATTAAGGATTGCTTATCTAATCAAAACTTTGTTCCTTTTCTTTTTCAGATTTCTGGCTCAAACAACGCTTCTGGCTCAAACTCCAACTCCTCAAGCTCCTTTTCTCTTTTGAACATTTGTTGGAGGGTCACCTTCGATGGATCCAATTTCATTGATTGGATTCACAACATTCGAATGGCCCTACGATACGAGGATAAAGAATACGTCCTCGAAAAAGAGCTCAAAGAGATAGATGAAACCAAAGCTTTTGTTGAACAAATATCTGAGTATAGGGCTCACGAAAAAGACGCGACAAAAGTGTCGTGTATAATGGTAGCCACTATGACTCCTGAGCTGCGCTGGTTCTACGAGGACTACTGGCCTTATGACATGTTCCAAGATTTGATGGAAAAGTACCATCAAAGCGCGCGTCAGGAAAGGTACAAGATTGTCGCCTCACTGATAACAACCAAGATGAAAGATGAGAGTCCATCACGAGCCACTTGAAAAGGATGCAAAGGTATGTGGATCGTTTGCTCAAGTTGAATGTCAACTTTGAGGAAGAGTTGGTGATTGATATAATCCTACACTCTTTACCTCCTTGTTATGATCAGTTTAAGATGACTTATCATATGAATAAAGAGGAAGTCACCTTGAGCAAGCTTCAAGGTTTGTTGAGAACTGCTGAAAGTTGACTTAAAGGCAAAGTTGTCGAGTCCACCCCTACTGCTGCTGCCCCGGTCCTTGCTATAAGCCTTGAAAAGGGGAAAAAGAGGAAAGCTCCCTCTACGAGCCACAAGGGAAAGTCCCATGATGGATCTTCTTCAAATGGATCCAAAGGTAAAACCGGTTCTGCAACTCCCTCATCCGATCCTAAAGAAGCAACGTGCTTCTACTATCACGAGAAGGGGCGTTGGAAACGAAGCTGCCCGAAATACTTGCAGGACATCAAGGATGGGAAGATAAAGCCCTCCTTCGCAGGTATTTATATTTTTCAATCTAATAACTCATCACATGCTATTTCTTAGGTCATTGATACAAGATTTGGTTTTCACATTTGTTCTGATTTGCAGGGGCTAAGAAGAAGTAGGGATTTGGAGCATGAGAAGATGAACCTAATAATGGGGAATACGAAATTGTCGCCTGTCACCAAGATCGGGATTTATTCTTTAGTGCTTAGTAGTGGGTTAGGATTAGACTTGAATGATTGTTGCTACTCATCAAAGATGACGAGGAATATTATTTCTTTTCATGGTTTGTACAGACAAGGCTTTAGATTTTCATTTAATAATGAAGTTGGTTCTATTAATGCTTTCTATAATGGTACTTTATATTTTGAAGCATTGCCTTGTAATGGTGTATATG